GCCATTAAAGCTGCTTTCTATTCTATCGGGACCCTCCCCTGACTTCTTATGGGGAACGTTTACAAAAGCATTTTTGGAAAATGAGATTAACTACGCCCACCGATTCACGGGGAATCTGTGTCGCTGCCCGCAGAAACCCGAGAACGAGGAGGCTGTGGCGCCCGTCTGGGTGTGGGCTGCCCGACGTCTGCCTCACACGCACGCCGGTGTTTACGGCGTCGCGGGGCCGGGGAGGGAGCGAGACTCCCGACACCCAGAGTTACTACTCAGCAGCCAGCAAGGACGACAACCAAGGCGTGGGGACCGCGGGGACCGAGGCCTTTCCGGCGCCGGTTCGAGCCGCTGCGTTGACAAATCTGCAGCTTGAGCTCCTGAGTTTCGCACTTGGAACGGGAGCAGCCTGACCGGTCCGAGCCGGAGGCCACACCCTCCAGGACGCGCAGGGGCCGCCAGAGGTTGTTGAACTCCTTCTCAACGTCCTGCAGGGCCACAGTCGTGATCTGTGATTGCCCCTTGTGCACGCTCCCAGAACCCCGCCGGACGAGGATAGGGCCTTGTTTTGATACAAAAGGCATTCCTTCTTAGAATTTCCTCCTCGATAACCCTCGAAGGCCCAGTTTCTGCTCTTGGCCAATTCAGTAATGGATGTTCTGTGCCACTATGGCTCCCCCTCCCCTTTTTAAAAAAAATTTGGGAGCGTACTCTGTCTCCTTTCTGGTCTTGGTTTGTTTTGTTCTGTAGTTATTCGCTATAAATATTTAAACATACTCTTAACAGGCTATCGCTGATGAGTGATACCGTTTATGAACCACGTTACTCCCTAGCTGTTTACTGTGTACAGAAAGTGTGCATTGCGTGAATTATTCTGAACGATGTGGAAAATCGGAGCCTCAGCCCCCGTTCTGCCCTTCAAGATCACTGGAGACTCCAAAATTATTCTTCCTGTGAGTCACCCCCACTGATATCCACCCTGTGAGAAATGGGAACTGAGACACTTAAACATTTACTTGTTTGTTTATGAAGAACAGCAATAAACCCAGTGCCTGTTAATGGAACACGCTTTATGAAAAATAATGATCTTTTCCAGAACAAAGACATTTTGGTGAAGAGAGTGTCATTGTGTTTTGTTTTGTTTTGTTTTTCGTTTTGCCAATCTCTTCGGGGTCTGGCTTGACAGGAGGCAGCTGGGCTCGGGCACCGCCTTGAGGGGTCCCTCTGCTCCGATGGGCTGCTCTCTAGCCCGTGGGGACAGCGCCTACGCGGGGGAGAGGTAGGCTCGGGGAGGGGGCAGAGGGCAAAACAAGGTGGCACGTGTCACGTGTAGGTGCTTCCGAAAGCACGCAAGCAAGGACATCAGGTCTAAGGGCTATGGTAGCAGGAGTCACACCCCCCCACACCAGCTGGAGTCACACCCCCAACACCAGCTGGAGTCACCCCCCCCACACACACACCAGCTGGAGTCACACCCCCCCACACCAGCTGGCATGGGTGAGGCCAGGAAAAAGCCTCATTCCTGGGTGGGTCTTGTCCTGAGACTCACAGTGGCTGCCTTGGCAGATGCAAAGCTTTGAGGAGCGCCAGCAGGGTCTCCCCCCCACCCCCGCGCCCGTGCTTGTTTCGTGCATTAACCCAGTCACTCCAGTGGCCATGACAATGGGCCATGGCTGTGTGATGTCATCACTGAGCTATTTGCATTAGCTAACAATAGCGTCTCTAAGCTTTCACCAGGTTGTAACTGTCCTGATGTTTCCACGAATTACAAATGCAACTGTCCCACCAGGCGGCCTCTTTCTCCAGGCAGCTCCTGGCACATCCTTTTGGCTCCCCCTCCCTTGGGGTCCGGCAGCCTCGGATGCCCTCTGCAGATGGCCAGGCCCCCGACGGACGGGGGAGGTCGATTCACTGCCTTCCTCCAAGTTCCTGCCCAGCGCAGACACCGGCAGGACGCAGGGACTCAGGGGTTAAAGAACGGCTTGTGGCCTTTGATTGATTGTGTTGATTCACGTCCCAGGAATGGAAGCTGTTCCTCTTCGGCAGGAGGGCACCTGTTCTGCCCGCGGCTGTGGAACTGAGTAGGCCACTACTTTTAAGGGCAAGTTCACGCACGTTCGGTAGTTGATACATGTCTAAAAAGTAGCAAGAGTCCGGAACAGACCTACAGAGTAGGTAACAAAGTAACAATATTTTAAGTGGAATGTAGCTTTCCAGGGAGGTGGCCTACTGTTAGGTTTTTCCAGGCTCACTGGGCCTCTGCGTCCTCCCCACCCGCCTTTTTCACTTCTCCCAACGCCCGCTGGGGGGCGTCCTTGGCCCACCGCTCCCTCTCCGAGGAAGGAGAAAGTGAGGCTTGGAGAAGGGAGGGGTGGTGTCCCCAAGGTCGAAGGCCCGATGAGTGACTGGGTTGGGACTAGACTCGGGATGTGTCTCATCTCAAGGCCCAGGATCTCTGCGATGTGAATAACACATGTTTTTACAGATAGGATTCTGATGACCACATTTTTAGGGCTATAAGATGCACCTAGGTTTTAGAGGAGGAAAATAGGGGAAAAAATTTGAAGCAAAAAAAGTGGTAAAATATTTAATAACATAAATAACATAGGCCGCTCCCCCCCCCCCCACACACACACAGCGAGCCGGGTACGCTACATTCGGACTATAAGACGCACCCCCCTTTCCTCCCAAATTTGGGGGGGAAGTGTGTCTTACAGTCCAAAAAATATAGTACTTCTAATAGTCCCACCTGAACTTCCAAAATCGCCACAGTATTTCATTTTTTTCTGGTGCTGCTCCAAATCACAAGCACGGAGAAGGAGTTCTGCCAGAGCTTGCTTCCCAGTGGGTCGCTGGGATTTTTTCTCGGTATCCGTTTGCGGGGAGCAGTTCTGGGACGGAGACCCTTCCCTGGACGCCCTGCCTTTGTTCAGAGCCCCGGCCCTACCTGGAGTGGCCAGCAGAGGGCGCCCTCAGCCCGTCCTCCCTCCCTCCCTCCCTCCCTCCCTCCCTCCCTCCCTCTGCAAGGCTGGAGAGGCTAAGCACCTGGGCCTGTTTCTGTCAGCGCAGAGGACACAAGCTCCCAGGGGTGCAAGTGGGAAAGAGGTGAGACCTTTTATGACCTGTGCTGAGGGTTTACACGTGGTCACTTCTACTCATGTTCCACTGGCCAAAGCCCGTGTCACAGCGCCAGGCCAAGCGAGGGGTCGCGGAAGCGCACACACCCTGCACACCGAGACCCCAGCAGAGGGCGCTGCTCCGGGGCGCAGCGTTCTGCCCCCGGGGCGCAAAGGGCCGGGGCCAGCGAGTCAGTCCGCCACGGGCCCCGCGGAGCGCAGCGCTGGTGGCCAGGAGGAGCCCTGCCCAAGGTCAGAAACGTGCGCCCGCGGCGGGTCCCTGGGAGAATTTTGCGTGATGTGGCTTCTTCCCACCCCCGTGGCTGCGTTCGAGGAGGGAAGGAGGAGTCAGGCCGTCAGCTCCAACGAAGAACTAAGAGGTCGATTCCCCGCGTGTTCTCCTGTTTATGTACTAACCGCCCACCCGCCCACAGAAACGCGTCCCACCAGACGACCTCAAGGGCGGGCGCCAGTCACTCCCCTGTTCGGACAAAGATGAAGTCCGATCTTTCCGAGCTTGGAGTCTCCAAGGGACAGGGCAGAGGCCCAGCGTGGACATCGGACATCTGGCCCACTCGGCGGGTCAGGACGAGGAGGCCCAGGCGGAGACCAGGGACCCGACTTCGCGAAGCCACTTACACGGGGACATGCTCAGTGTCTAGTCCCCGCTCCAGCCCGCGGGCCCTGCTTGCTGGCAGTTACAGACTTGTACAAAGGGGGGGGGGGGTGCCCCGTGACCATGACTGAGCCCTTGGGGAGGAGGGTCCCCGCTGGTCGGGTCCCCGCTGGAGAGTTAGACCAATCTCTCTCCTTCACCACATTGCAGTCAGGCGCCTTCGGGCTCTTCTCCACCGGCCTCTACCTTGAGGTCCCCGGGCCCCGCCTCCCTCCCGTCCTTGACCGACCCAGCCCCGGATTTAGCAAGAGTCTCGCTGAGTCATCTCAGACACGCTCCCACGCGTGCTTATCAGTCTGATCGATCTAGACCGCCCTCCGCAAGAATCCTGGAGTTAAATCGGCTCAGCGGGAATCCCGCAACCCTCGCGCCTCCTGGCAAACTCGCAGCCGCTGACCCGTCGCTCCGTTGGGCTGTGACTCCTGGACGGACGTGTCTTCGCGGGGTTCTCCACTGAGCGGGTGGCTCTCCCCCGCTTGCGAGAGTCGGGCACCTGTCTCCACAATCCCCGGGAAGTCTTCCTTTCCGCTTTAACAAGTGTCAGAATCATTTTTTCCCCCCAAGGTGTCCCCAACAAAACCCAAGTCCAGAAGCTCGTTCTGGAAGGAGAAGGGCGTCCGGCTTCTCCGCTCACTCTAGTTGTGCGCTCCACGGGAGAAAAAAAAATTTTTTTTTAACTTCTCGGGAAGGATCCCTTTAGACACTTCCTCCGTCCACGAGATTCCACGTCTGGGGTTTAGCAGGCAACCACTGCACAAACCAGGAAGTCCCTCCCCCGTCTATTAACAAGTTCTTCGCACGTGCCTGCTCGGACACAGCGGGAGCGCCCCCAAACACCGCGCACAGGCGCCCCACGCGCCCCTGCGGCCCCCCGCCGGGTTGCTCTGCGCCGCGCATTTCTTGAGGCAGAAGAGGGTGCCCGGGTGCAGATCACGGGTGAGTGCCCAGGAGCACAGGGGCGTGTGCACGCGGTCACACTCGTTAAAACGCAGCCTCGGTCGGTTCCCGCCGCCTCCACCGGAGGTCGCGCGCAGCCCACAGGAGGCCGAGTGCACCCGGGCGCGCGGGGCCGGAGGGGCGCGCGGGGCGGCCGGAAGCCGCGGGACGAGGGTGGGAGCGGGCGCGTCCCCGGGCGCAGCGCCTGGTGACATCACGCGCTCCGCCCCTCGCCTCCCAACACCCTCAGCTCGCGGCCGGACCCTCCCTCTCCCACCACGTGTCCTCGCGCTCCCTCCCGAGGGGCCGCGCGCTCGGGCCGCCGGAGAGACGGCCGGGATGGCGCTGTGACAGCGGGCCGGAGCTTTCGGCGCCCCCCGCGTCCCGGCCCGCGCCCCGGAGGTCGGTCCGGAGGTGAGTGCGCGCGGCGGCGCCGAGCGCGCGCATGGGGCGGGGGCGGGGGCGGGGAGGCGGGGACGCTCCCCGGGCCGGGCGGCGGGGCGGGGGCCGGGGCTGCAGCTGCACGGCCACCGCCTTTGTTGCGGGCCGGCGGGAGGCGGGCGGCGCCGGCGCTCGGCAGGTGCGCGGGGCCGGACCCGGCCGGCGGCGCGGGGGCCGCGGAGAAGGGAACTGGGACAAGATGGCTGGAGGGACCCCAGCGGTCCCGGGCGCGGGAGGCGGCCGGCGGCCAGGCCGCGGGCACCCCGCCTCCCACCCCCGACCCGCTGCCCGGGAGCCGGCGGGGAGGCCGCAGTCAAGTTGGGGCCGCGGCTCTCGGGTCTGAAGCCTGTTCCGCGCGCCCCAGACCCCTCCCTGCCGCATTCGCGCGTCCTTTCCGGAAACACGGGAGAAGCCGACTTTGAACTCGGGAGCGCTGTTTTCTCCGGCCGCCGGGGAGGACGCCGCCCCCAAGACGCGCCCTCGCGGCGCACCTAGTGACTGCCGGCCCCCGGAGGGCGGGAGCGCGGCCTCCCAGCGCCGCAGAAGAGGGCGTTTGTTGTGCCCAGCGGCAGCGAGGCAGCCCCCCGGGGCCGGGCGCCCGCAGACGGGCGCACCCTGCCGGGTATCCCGGTGTCACCCCGCGCTGTGTGTCGCTGGCTCCAGAACGATCGTTTTCTGAGTGGCGGCCCTTCTGAGCCAAACCGCCCCCTGGTGCGGGAGCGGCCTGTAGGAGCGACCCGGCCCGGCAGGCGGCCTGTCTGCGCCCCGACACCTTCAGTGATCCGGAGCCAGCCTCCCTCTGGACCGCGGCCAGCTTGGGTGGCGCTGGCTCCGAGCATCCTGCCGTTCCCTGCGCTCTTCCGGGATGTTTACTCCTGCCGGTTGCGCCGGCCGATCTCTGCAGAACCAGCCCGGTCTCTCCCACAGAGTGCTTTTTAAATATTTCACGTATTGATTTTAGAGAGGGAGAGGAAGGGTGAGAGACAGAGTGAAACATCGGTTTGTGGTTCCAGCCATTTGCGCTCCATTGGCCGAGTCTCGACTGTGCCCGGACTGGGGATGGAACCTGCCACCTGGGTGTGCGGGGAGGACACTCGGACCAGCCGAGCTGCCTGGCCAGAGCCCCCGGAGAGCTTTTTAAATATTTGAAGGCTGCTACGTATGTTCTCTGCCTGCAGCCTTTCCTTGCACCGCGATTAAAGGTGCCCCCTCCAGCCTCCTGGCGCCTGCCGGCCTCCTCCCCGGCCCCACGGCTCCCCGCCTCGTCCCAGCCCCGCGGAGCCGGAGCCGAGAGGCTGTGTGGGCAGACCCCCGGTCCCAGGCTGATTTCCCCGAACGCACCCTGCCGCTTGCAGACATGGAATCCGCAGCCTTCCCTCTGCACCTGGCACTGAAGGTGGAGGAAGGGGAGGAAGAGGCTCAGAGCCCGGAGCTGGAGGATGGCCCCACGGACACGCAGAAGGTCCGCATCTGCTCCGAGAGCGCGTGGGTAAGTCCAGGTGTGGGGCGCCGAGCAGCAGGGCCCCGGGCGTGGTGGGAAGCCCCCCCCGCACCCACAGCCCAGGACGGACCCGGGGAGTAAAAATGGCCCAGCCCCGCGTGAGTGTCTGCGTGCCTGAGAAAACCGTGGTGCTGGGGCTTTAAGGGGCTCTGTGGAAACCGAGCCAGCCCGCCCGCCCGCCCAGGAGGCCAGGCCCAGCCCCTCCTGGACCCTGCGCTCCCTGCGCCCCACTCACGGCCAGCCACGTGGTCGACGCCATGGAGCGTGTGCTGACTTACGCTGAAGAAAAGGGTCTCTGACTGTTAGGTGGTGAGGCAGCTCTCTGCCCAGGACGGCGGAGAAAGGCGTCAGGGTGTCACAGCAGGGGACAGGGGTCCAGCTGCACCCGGAGCACAGTGGAGACCGGGGGGGGTCTTAGAGCCAGGAGGCAGCGTGGGGATCAGTGTAGGAAGAAGTGCCTGGGGTGGGGGCTTCTTGCTGAAGGCAGCCCAGGGCGCTCGGGTGTCCAGGGTTGGGTGGGCACCCCCTCGGCAGGATTCCCGCTGAAGCTGAGCGGGGCAGGTTGAGCACACACAGGAGGGGACCTCGCCGGGAAGAGGGCGGAGGCTGCACCTGTGCCTGCCTCTTCCGTGTCCGCTGCCCACCTGTGTGCGCTCCTCCTGGCCCTGGTCCCCTGCGGCTGGGGGCACCCGGGAGGACCCGCGGGGCTCGGAGCAAGACCTGGAGGCCGCGGGAGCCCTGGGCTCTGAGGCCAGATCAGCCTGCCCGGCACGTCTGGGCTTCGGAACGGCAGGCCTTGGAGACAGGAGCAGGAAAGGGGGCGCCCGAGGCTGTCAGGACAGCGAGAAGGGCACAGGGCGAAGGCTGCTCCCCGGGGAGAGGAGGGGGGAATGGCGCAGTGCTGGGTGCTGTTGACCCTACGGGACCTCGCGGGGGGGGGGGGGGCGGAGTCGCAGGTCTGGTGAGGGAGACAGGGACGCCAGCAGAGGGCGGCCTTCGGGGTGTCGCGCTCGCAGCCGGCTCCGGGGGCAGGGGTCGCACTCCGGCCGGGCAGCTCCGGGAGGCTTCCCGGAGGAGGCGAGCCTGGGCCTGGTCCAGATTCACTGGCAGCCCTGCCCCCAGCTGCCTCCGCTCCTGGGGACGTCTGGGGTGGTCATGCCTGGGGGAGGGGTGGTTGAGGAGTGGAAGAGCCCCTTGGCAGCATCTCCAGGGTAGAGGCCCGGGTGGTTGGGGGGCATCTTCAGTGCCCAGCACAGCCCCCAACAGGGAACCGTCTGGACAGGGGTGCCAGCTGTACCCAAGTGCAAAAGCCCTTGCTCCAGGGCATGAAAATAGGGGGCTCGAGGGCAGTGCTGGGGGCGGGCAGGCCTGCGAGCCAGAACCGGACTGGAACCTGAGGTCCAGGCGGGAAGAGGAGTGAGAAGTGGGCGGGGCCGTGCCGTGCCTCCCTCCTCTCTGCAGCGCCACCCCTGTGCGGCAGGCGGGCGGGCCAGTGTGCCTGGGCGCTGGAGGCGCTGGCCCTGCGGGTGAGCCCTGGGGTGCCGGCTGCTGGGCGGCGGGGCTACAGGAAGAGCGTCTGGCCGGCCTGCGCCCGAGCGGAGGGAGGGGCCCAGGCCGGGAAGGGCAGCCAAGGTGGACCGCGGGCTGGGCTGCCCGGCGTCTGAGTCCTGCCCGGGGCTGCCCTGTCTGCCTGCGTTGCGCTCAGCCAGATAAAAGGCCTCTGTGGAGGGAGGGGCCGGCGCAGCAGGGCCTGGCGGGAGCCGGGCTCGGTGACTGTCACCGAGGGCAGCTGTGCGGGGACTGTCAGAGCCGCGCTCTATGGGCCCCTGGGGCATAATGTGGGCCTGTGCGAAGCTGCTCTGCCGCTCGGCCGCCTCCTCACTGCGCAGGCGCCCGACGGACGGCTGTCCCCCGGCCCAGAGCGCCCTGCGCCCCCGAATGGACCACCCCTCTGAAACGGCAGGACAGCCAGCTCTGCGTCCCGTGTTATCAGCGAAGGGAAGGGACTATACATAGGTATGGTCCAGATCTGGAATTTTCTTGGGAGAGCGCAGGCCAGGGGGAGTGCTGGGAAAGGCTGGAAGGGGTGGGGACGTTGGGGGCGGGGCTTCGGGAAACTGCGGGCCGAGGTCCAGACGGATGAAGTCTCGGGACAGCCCCCGACCCAGCCGCGTGGCCCTCCGGGAACCTCACACGTAGGGGGTTTTGCCCACTCTTCTCCGAAGTCTAGGCGCGCCTCTGTGTCACATAAAGCGTCACCGTCATCTGAGACTAGTGCAGGCGGGGCCAGAGGAGGGAGATTGGGAGTATTTCCTAACAGCGTGTGGAGGTGAGGAGCCCAGGCCCCGCCCCCGGGGAGCTGGTGTCCTGGTGGGAGAGGTGGACACCAGGTGGCGTTCTCCCGGGCGGGTGAGAGGACGCTCAGTGTGCTAAGTGCCACCCGGAGGTGAGCCAGGGCGTGGCGGGGAACGGGACATCTGGGCCGAGTCCCGGACTCAGGGTGGGTGTTTGCTGGGCCCGGAACAGGGGAACCTCCCAGAATGGGAGACGTGGGGGCGGGCACCCAGGTCACAGGCCAGGTTGCTGGGGTGCAGCTGGGCTCGGAGGCAGGGGACAGCGGAGGCCTGGCCACCGAGGCGGCCGCTGGGCTCTGCAGGACTGGGGTCTGGGGGTCCGACAGTGCCCGGCCGGCCCCATGCCTGGGCTGTGTGTCCTTGGACGGAGAGAAGCCCTCTCTGAGCCTGTCTCCTCCCTGACCAATTAATGTGGTCAGAGGGACAGTGAGGGAGCTCCAGGGCACTCCTGGGGTGCTGCCCGTGTGGCGGGGCTGGGGGGGGTGGGGAGGGGATCCATGGACTTGGGGAGTGCGGAGGAAAGGCCCGTGCGTCTGAGGGACTGGTGACCGGGCGCCCGGGGCAGCCATTGGCTGTACACACAGCTGGTGAGACCGTCGTCACTGTCAGCACCTGGGCCCCAGATGCAGCCTGGGGCCAGTGTTGGAAGCAGCAATCAAGGGAGCCAGCCTGAAGGAAGGGGCCCAGTGGTTCCTCACCACTGAATGTGGTGACCTTTGGGGGATTTTTAGTGATCACAGGGAAAAAACGTCGTCACAAGAAAAGCAAATAGTTGAATAAACAAGAGGAGGTCGGTGTGGGTGGTGTGGCCGCCTTTAGCTGCCAAGTGTTCCTCCCCGCTGGGGGACCAGAGGGACAGTCCTCTGTCCTCAGGGCTTCTGTGCCCGGGTCCCATCTGATGAGTGTGCTCTGGAATGTTCTTACACACACAACTCTTTGTCCTCCTGCCCGTGCGCCTGGGACGGGCCAGTCGCCCCACGGTGGCTGGCTCCTCGCCGGCTGCTGTGGGTTCAGGGTCTAACACGAGGGCCGGTGGGAAATGCAGGCGAGTGCCCGGGAACCTCTGCAGCCCAGGCGGGGCAGGGACTTACTGAACTTGCACCAAACCCAGCCCCGGCCGAGGGCCAAGGGCCGAGGGTTGTGACCGAGGGGGCGAGTGGGGTCGGGATGTGGGGGTGTGGGGCCCGCTCTGGGGCAGGGGCGGGGCTGGGTGTGTCTGTGTCTGGCTCTGGAGGGAGGCAGGGTTACCAGTCTCTGGCATGTGTGTGTGTGTGGGGGCAGGGGGCCATCCCCGGCCTGGAGCTCGGTGACTGGGGGCTCCTCCTCCAGGTGCTACCGCCCCTGCCTGTGGCCAGTGGGGGCAGCGGGCCCACAGGGCACGGGGACCTGGGCTGGGCCCTCCTCTGCCTCCTGCGGCCTCACAGATGATCCCCCTCCCACGGAGGGGGCAGGGCCCCTCCCGCGGAGACCAAGGTGTGGGCCGCCCCACGCGTCCCTGGGAGCCCCTGAGCAAGGCCCGCTCCGTCCCAGGTGCCGGCCCTCTTCGACGAGGTGGCCATCTACTTCTCCGACGAGGAGTGGGAGGTGCTGACCGAGCCGCAGAAGGCGCTGTACCGGGAGGTCATGAGGATGAACTACGAGACCGTGCTGTCCCTGGGTGAGGCTTCCTGTCCCCTGTGTCCTGGAGGTTCTGGGCCCGGAGAACGGCCGCCGTGCCCCCGGAGCGGCGGAACCCACCTCCCTGCCTCCTGACCTTGGCCTCTATGCCCACGTAACTGCCCGTGTCGCACTCAGGCAGGGGTGGGACTCAGGCAGGGGTGGGAGTATTGTGTCCCTCTCCTCGGTGACCTGTGCTGCTGTCAGGACGGACAGTCCTCATGCAACCCCGGTGTCCCCATCAAAAAAAACCCAGACGTCACCTCAGAGATGTCGGCACCAGTCTGGGCCTCGTCGTCACTCCTGCCGCCAACCTCAGGAGCTTGGGGATACACCCCAGGGAGCCTTGCCCGCTCCCAGCCTGGATGGCCAGGATGTCACTGCAGGGGTCTCCCCGTGGGAAGGTTGGCTAGATCGCCGGCTGCTAAAGGCCACTATTTTTGTGGCCGCCAGGTCTGGCCCTCGTTAGTGGAGAGCCGTGAACTCCTTGGGGAGGCCTGTTTCCCATCAGACTTTTCCCCTAAGGGTCCCGAGCCCCTTTCCCCGTCTTCCGCAAATCTCCACAGTGAGAGGACCGGGGTGGTGGGGTGGGGGGGACCCTAAAGCACCGGCGTTGGCGGCGCCCGGAACCTGTGTCACTTCTCTGGACAGAATTCCCGTTCCCGAAGCCGGACATGATCTCCCGGCTGGACGGGGAGGCGGAGTCTCAGAGTCCGGACGCGTGGCAGCTCCAGGGAGGAAGCTTCGCAGGTACGGCCACGAAGCCGGTCCAGCGCCCGTCACGCGCGGGGCGGGGGGCTTCACGAGGCGGGGGTTTAAGTTTCCACGTTTGTTCTGGGGGGGCGTGTGAGAGGGAGGCAGGGCGGCAAGGCAGGAAGAAGCTGGGCTTTGGAATCTAAAAACCTCCTCGCCAGTGCTGTGTGGCCTCAGGCAACTGCCTTGACCTCTCGGAGCCTCCCTGTCTTCCTCAGTCCACTGCGGGTAAGACGTGTCAGTGTGAGCTCGAGGAAGCCGACGGAAGCTGGTGAGGCATCGGGCCCAGCCCACGCCCCCCTGGCTCCGCTCGCCTTCCCTCTGGGGGAAGGGCTGCAGGTGCCACGCGGCACTGATTCTCAGACACCCGTCCCCGCCACGTCCCTGGAGCTGAGAACGCCTCTTAAACTCAGGGCGCATCTCGCAGCTGGTGACGTCTTAGTTTGGGTGAGATGTGGTCGTTTCCCCGAGTTGTTGCCAGTCTCTGTGACCCCTCCCCACTGTAAACGCACAGCGAACCCCGGTTCTCGTGTGCACTGGTGTGCGAGAACCGCTCCTCTGCCTGGGGAGCTGCACCTGCCGGGCCAGGTCTCTGCTATGCCCTGGCTCCGAGGGACGTGGCCCAGCCCACGACACTACAGCCGCGTTCTGTACTCGGACGGCGGCGTGGGTTGTATTTCGCTGCTCGTCCACGTAAGAGTTCCTGTGACCCAGACGTGGCCCCCCGATTTCAACGTGACCTGAGCTCGTACCTGGGCTGGGTCCCCAGCTCTGCCTCCTTTTGGCTCAGCTCCCATGATGCCCTTCACTTCCATCGCCTCCTCCGCAGAGCGGGGGTGGTGACCCGCTAGGCGGTGGCATCCGTCAGGAAAGGGACGGCCCGGGGGACCTCCGATGAGGGCGTTCTTGGCAGTCCCACCGACAGAGTCCAGGAGCGGGCCGGACGTCACTGTGCTCACCGGCGCCGTCCCCGCCCCTCCCCGTCTGTCTCCCAGAACACGAGGAAGCGGACGTCAAGCCCCCGGACTGGGCCAGCCCCGTGCACACCGCGGCCCCGTTCCCGCCGCCGCCGCCGCAGCCCCTGGACGGCTTCGGCCTCCGCCTGCCCCGGGACATCGCCGACCTGCCCGAGTGGGGCGAGGGGTACCCCTTCTACATGGCCGTGGGCTTCCCGGGGTACGACCTCTCGGCCGACGACCTGGCCGCCAAGTTCCAGTTCGGCCGGGGCGTGCGCCGCAGCTACGACGCGGGCTTCAAGCTGATGGTGGTGGAGTTCGCCGAGAGCACCAACAACTGCCAGGCGGCCAAGCAGTTCGGCGTGCTGGAGAAGAACGTGCGCGACTGGCGCAAGGTGAAGCCGCAGCTGCAGAACGCGCACGCCATGCGGCGGGCCTTCCGGGGCCCCAAGAACGGCCGCTTCGCCCTGGTGGACCAGCGCGTGGCCGAGTACGTGCGCTACATGCAGGCCAAGGGGGACCCCATCACCAGGGAGGCCATGCAGCTGAAGGCCCTGGAGATCGCCCAGGAGATGAACATCCCGGAGAAGGGCTTCAAGGCCAGCCTGGGCTGGTGCCGCCGGATGATGCGGCGGTACGACCTGTCGCTGCGGCACAAGGTGCCGGTGCCCCAGCAGCTGCCCGAGGACCTGACCGAGAAGCTGGTCACCTACCAGCGCAGTGTGCTGGCGCTGCGCCGGGCGCACGACTACCAGGTGGCCCAGATGGGGAACGCGGACGAGACGCCCATCTGCCTGGAGGTGCCGTCCAGGGTCACCGTGGACAACCAGGGGGAGAAGCCCGTGCTGGTGAAGACGCCGGGCCGCGAGAAGCTGAAGATCACCGCCATGCTGGGCGTCCTGGCCGACGGCCGGAAGCTGCCGCCCTACATCATCCTGAGGGGCACGTACATCCCGCCGGGGAAGTTCCCCAGCGGCATGGAGATCCGCTGCCACCGCTACGGCTGGATGACGGAGGACCTCATGCAGGACTGGCTGGAGGTGGTGTGGCGGCGGCGGACGGGCGCCGTGCCCAAGCAGCGCGGCATGCTGATCCTGAACGGCTTCCGGGGCCACGCCACCGACTCGGTGAAGAGCTCCATGGAGAGCATGGACACCGACATGGTCATCATCCCCGGGGGCCTGACCTCGCAGCTGCAGGTGCTGGACGTGGTGGTGTACAAGCCGCTCAACGACAGCGTGCGCGCCCAGTACTCCAACTGGCTGCTGGCGGGCAACCTGGCGCTCAGCCCCACCGGCAACGCCAAGAAGCCGCCCCTCGGCCTCTTCCTGGAGTGGGTCATGGTGGCGTGGAACAGCATCTCCAGCGAGGCCATCGTCCAGGGCTTCCGGAAGTGCCACATCTCCAGCAAGCTGGAGGAGGAGGACGACGTCCTGTGGGAGATCGAGGGCGAGCTGCCGGGCGGCGGGGAGGTGCCGGCGGAGGGCAGAGCCGAGAGCCGCTGAGCGCCCGCGCGGCCGAGGTAAGCGTCGGGGGCGGGCGCCCTGTTGTGTTCCGCAGGTGCCTTTGGCCTTGTCGGCACTCCCCCGTCTGTGCCAGACCTCGGGAGCCCACGCGCTGTGCTGCAGGCGGCGGTGACAGGCGGTCGGCGACGGCTCCGCGGCCCGGCCCCGGGGCACCGGTGCACGTTCACGGGACGCCAGCAAGGGGTCCACGGCCAGAAGGCGCGTGGTCTGCCTGCTGGGCCGACGAGGCGTTGTCGGAAACGCCCACGTTTGTTCCCGTTGCGAGTCGGGGTGTCCTCCTGGAGCAGACGTGCTGCCAGACCCTGAGCTCAGGGCTCGCTCCTCCTGGGGGGCTCACTCCTCCTGGGGGGCTCACTTCTCCTGAGGGCGTCTCGCTGACGCTGGCTTTCCCCAGTGTGTAAACGTTTCGTGGTGCTCTCCATCATGACCTTCGTGGGGACTCAGCGGTGAGCATGATTGCTTGCAGCCCATGGCTGTCTGAAGGAAGGCATTTTTAAATTGCATCTTTGCGCCGGAGTAACAACAACAACAGAGGGTGCGCGTCTAGGGCTGGCGGGCAGAGGGCGGGGGTGGGGGCTGGCCTGCGGGGCCGGAGTCGAGTCAGGAAGGGAGACGGCTGACACGGAAGGGGGTTGGGGTTCTCCCGGGGAGGATAGCAAGCCCCCCCGTACCTTGAGTAAGAACGGCCCAGACAGCGGGAGACACAGCCAGAAAGAACAGGAGACTCATGTCCCCCTCTGGTCCTCGTCCCTCCAAAACGGCGTGTGTTTGGCAGGGAGGGGCCACTCCTCCGAGGACGGGGGGCCGAGGGCTGCCTTGAGTCGCCCTCCTGTTAAAGTGTGAGCAGGTGTCCCGTCTCCTGGCTTCTCCCTCCTAAGGACATGCTGAGCGAAGTCTTGCCTCCCCCCACACGCTGTCCAGGGGGGCTCCAGTCTCCTGATCTGCCCCCAAGTCATGTCGAGCTCATGTCGCTGGGCCCTGTGCCACTGGGGGTCCCTAGATGGGCAGAGGGCCAAGGTCTTCACCAGGACAGTAGAAATCAGCAAACTGCTTGTTTTTTGCTCCCTGCCCTTTGCTCCCTGGATTTGGCCTCCCCTCTCTCAGCATGCACTGCCGCCGTCGGGGGACAGACTGTGACTTCCAGTGACTGTGTTCCCTTTCTCACTTTAGCTTTTGTCTCCCCTTGTTAGATACCATTTTTGTGCATTTTTAATTTCCAAGCTCACTGCTGCCTGTCAAAGGACTGGGTCAGACACTGCTTAGTGGCGGGGCGGGGGGGGCAGAGAGATGTATAGCTGCCCCGGTGCACGGAGGCCCCGACGGATGTCGCCCGCCCACCTGCTCGTCAGGGCGCCCGGCGCTCTGGGCAGCTGACCCTCTCCGAGCCAAGGAGTCAGAGCCGTAGACAGGGCCTCCTGGCGACCCAGGAGACCGGTGGGCGTCGGACGGCCCCTTCTCATCACTGGAAATCGGACGGATGGGAAGACGACGCCTGTGGAAGGTCAGACACGGTCCGCAATCCCCGGGTTCATTCACACCTGGGTTCTCTCTGTCTTCCAGCACAAGCTGCTGTGTTTGCGACGGCGGGGGAGGAAAGCCCACGAGAAGACTGCACACGTGTGGGGGCACCGGCGGCAGCCGGTCTGGACGGCACCTCGCCCCCGCCCCGGGCGCCCCACCCCACCCCCTTGGGCTGCCGAGCGTCCGGGACCCTTCACTCCGTCAGAGACGTGCTTAGGGAAAGACACTGCTCCTGCCCCATTCCTCGTAGCGGCGACGCAAGCGTCCGCCGGGAGACACCTGTACATACGGTGAACGGAGGATATTTCCTGGAGAAGAGGCCGTTCGTTCCACAGCAACAAAGAGCTCGTCGTGTGGGCTCCACACCACGCCATGCCACGCCAGTGGCACGCTTTCCGGGGAGAAAACCCGAGGCCTCACCTCGTGGTTTTCTTCTGCCTTTAAAACCGCTTCCAGGGCCAGAGCCGGCCTGTCCCCAGTGGGGCAGGACTGCAGAGACGGCCACGCCGGGACGCGTCCTGTGTGCACGTCCCCCGCTCCCTTTTAGAGAAAGGAGGTGCCAGGGACCCCGGAATCCAGACGTCCCGGCCGGGCACCAGCCGGGGGCTTTTCTGCAGACGAGCTAGGTTCGTGGGGAAGACACAGGCGAATGGACACGGTGCCGTTGTATTTATCTTCCCGATCAGGTTGGCAGCTAGACTTTTTCCGGGCCTCGTTGAACGGCCCCGTTTTTTGTTACGATTCTGTTTGACGACCGGGCAGCCCCTGGCACGCGGGTGCCGCTGTTTCTCAGAGGTCAAGTGTGAGTGGTCCGCCGTCCACATGGCACCAGCCTCCTCGCCGCCTACGGTTTGTTTTCTTCGCTCCTTTACTGTTTTTATCACGAGGGCGGGGAGGGGGTTTGGGTCTTCAGCCACAGCTGTTTCGAGCCCCGAACCTGCCACCCTCAGGACGGGCGGGAGGCCTCTGAGCTTTCACACTGTAGCGGTCCGCCTTCCCCGTGGATCGGGGACCGAGCGTCATGAAAACATTCCTTCGAAGCTATCAGCGCTGCAGAAGGCAGGCCAGGACCCCCCGGACAAAGCCATCGCTAGGAACGCCACCCCAGTGCCAGCTCTGGGGACCGGCCTGCGTCGTCCTGCCCGCGCACCCTGCCGTGCGTGTGCCGCGCGGTTCTCAGCGTCTTGACACACCTATCTCTACTCAGGTACTCGTTTTCCTATCGGCAAAACACCTCTCCTTTTCTAACACCGGTTTCCTCCACACGGGGGAGTGTCACTCAGTGTCTGGGATCGGGGTGACTTCCAGTATTTGGACTGTTTCCCCAACTGGACTGCGTGCTTCATCGTCTCGAGCGGCATCGAAACCCAGCTGCTTGGCATTCCAGAAGTTTCCATTCCCTCCAGTTCCACTTAAGTTATCCTCCGTGTTCCTGGCTGCTGCCCCCTACTGCTGTCCTGTTTGACTTGCTTTGGGAGCGTGAAGGACTCTGGGAGACCGGATGCCGGGCGCCCGCCCTGGAGCCGCCGGGGTCTGGCAGAGACGAGCAGATGGTGGGTTCGGCTCCTGACACATTCCGCCAACACCTCGAGTCCCGGCGCCCGCCGGCAGGGGGCGCTGTGCGCGCTGCCCGGCGCCCGCTGCCACCGACTCCGTTCCGACCTCTTCCTGGCGGCTCCGCCCCGGCCGGCCGCTCTCCTCTGCGGGGCGGCGGTGACCCCAGACCGACACTAGCACATGTGGAGACGTAGCCGCACTCCCCAGTAGGTAGGCGTTGACCCCGACAATAAACTTGGATAAACGAGAGCGTGGGCTGTGGCACTTTTCTTAACACTTACCTGCTCGTATGGGGAAAAGTCACATGTCCAACCACCCTGGTCCCCTCACTGTCCGTGGTACCAGCAGGTGATGCCCTGGGGGCAGAAAGCATCTGCTGCGGGGGTGGGGGGGGGGTGGGGGACTGTGGGGGTGGGGGGAGAAAGGCTTGTCCCTCCCTCGGTCGTGGCTGGGCGGCCCGGATCGAAGGGCACCCGCAAAGGCGTGGTAGCACGCCGACAGACGGGAGACTTGGAAATCCACTCTGCACGTTTCTTCGGGAAGGAAAGCGTGACGTGCCGCCCTCTGTGTGCCCTCCCACGGCGCGTGTGCAGTGACACGGGCCCCTGACAGGCCGCCGTGCCCATAAGCAGTGGCCTGCGTTCAGAGCGGCCTCGACAAGATGTCCCCCTTCACGAGCCATCGGGACGACGTTCCAGTCCGACATGTGGGTCGCAGCACCTGCTCACCTCCCGGAGGCTGTCCGGTCAGGGGTCCCAACCGCGACGGGACAGGCCTTGGCCCCAGAGGACAGGGACCCCCACCGCAGGTCACCGTGAAGTCCCACCCCGGCCGCTGAGGCGGCGGGGAGCAGGTCAGGAGGACGGGGCCTGGTTGGCCGCAGCTGTGGGTGTCGGGGTGTCAGGAAGGTGCTGAGCCAGCACTTGGGGCGCCTGCGACACAGCAGATGGGCCTCTGCACACCTGGTTTTGCACAGCAAACCCGCAGCTCCGACGGTGCGGGCGGTTCCTGCCGGAAAAAATCAGCCTGATTCTGGCTGGGGCTACCTGGGGCCTCGCGGCATTGCTGCCGGTCGGAGTGTGTGCTACTCGGTGCTCGGTGCAGAGCCCTCGGCTGGCCCGGGGCCAGCGGTGGCGCCAGCACCAGCGCCAGCGCGGGCTGGAGTGGGTGCCTGAGCCTCTCAGGGGCTCTCCAGAAGCCGTCCCACGTGTCACACTCCCTACCTCCCTGCCCTCGGAGTGTGGCCCCAAAAGGGAGAAGAGAGTCTGCTGGGGTCCTGTGGACCCTCAGATGCAGGTCGGGTCCTGGAGAGGAACCTCCGTTAGCATGGGGGTGGGGCCCGCCCCGGTGACCCCCACAGCCTCTGCACCTGGGGCGTGAACTGTCCCACACACTTAGCCGCGAGGCCCGGGTGTGAGTCGTCCAAACAGAACCCCCGCGTCTGGTGCGATGCGGATTCAGCCCCCCCAAACCCTCACTGCCCGGGCATCACCACCTCGAGGTCTAAAGGGCCTTTCAGACTCGGGCCAGCCGCCAGCGGAAACGCGGCGGTCTGCTTTCGCTTCGCAGCCTGCCGTAGTTCACAGAGCGCAGGGGAGGTGGCCCGCCTCGGCTGGAGCCTACTTTTTCATCGTGCTTGTCTAGAACGTTCTTTTGAAGCGTCCTGCTGAAGCCCTGGTTGCACAGGGCTTTCCCCGTTTCTGTAGACGGCAGCACCCCTTATCTGCTTAGCAAACAAACAGTTTTCTCCCAAAAGGTTTATTTGTCACATTTAAGGTACAGAATCAAACACGCAGATCCAGACACGGACCCGTTTCGACCTATGTACACGTACACCCATAACCCACTCAGAGTCCCATTCTGACGCGGCTGACCCCTGACCAGCGCGGTGGGAACGGCGGCCGCGCGCGCGCGCGCGCTCCCGCGAGATGCCGCGGAGGCATGTGCACTCGGAACTGCGGACGACCGCAGCTGGGAGTCCAGATGCTTCCACGCTGTGTCACCTCGGGGGCTGGGGCACCCGCGGATGTGGGATCAGTGGGGGGTCCCGGACAGCTCAGTGCCGGGGAGTCACAAATTACAGGTGAATTTGTGGCTGCGTCGGGGGTCGCGCCCCTCACGCCTGCATTGTCCAGGGCCGACCCCACGTCCGGCAGCCCTCTTGAGTAAAAGGCCACGCATGCGTGGAAAACAGACTGGGTCCTCAGCGACACGGCCAAATGCGAGTTGTTTCCCTTTACCGTCTGAACGGGTAGAGACACATTTCATAGGAACGGGGGGACGACCGCGTGGGAATCAACACGTCCACGTGGGGCACGGGAAGCATTCTGCGGGAACAATGAACAGGCGGACCCGTCCATCACAGTCTTCGGGCACGTCGACCCCGGGAAGGAAACGCGAGTTAGGGGAAGACAGTTCACGGGGTCGTCCCGGGGCGTCGCCTGCCTGGCACCTCGGGCCCAGCGAGCGCCCCCTGCAGGCTCTGCCGGGGACTCGTGCGCGCAGATGTGGTCCCCGCGCAGGCAGACTCGTGGCGTCCGCTTCACGGCTGCAACGCAACGCGTACTTCACGCCGCGTCTCTGTACAAAAAGTCCTGTTCGCACGTCCCCGTCAGTCTCGGAGTGCGGACGGGCCCCGAGACCGCCCACTCTCGGTCACCAGTGCAGGTGGGGGCGCGCCTGCCGGTGGGCGGGGCACGCCCGTGGGTGGGCGGGGCTCAGCAGAGCAGCAGCCCCTCCTTGGCCGCCAGGCGCTGCCTGTGCACCCGGTCCTGCTGCAGCTCCTCGTGGTTCGGATGCCAGAGCTTCGTGATGACCCTCTCGATGTTGAGGGCGTACACGGTGTGCGTGGGGATGACCTCCCGGTGCACCTGGGGCAGACACGAGCACCCTCAGTCACACTTGAGAGCCACAGACCACGCCCACAGAAAACACACTAACCCCGTGACCTTGGAGCCAGCACCCAGCGAATCCCAACCCAGCTACTGAGAACCCAGGAAACACCCAGGTTCGGAAACGGGAATGAGGGGGCGAGGGTGCTTTTTTCCTTTTCCTTTTCTCCCTGGGAGGTGGGGGGCGCGGGGGGGGTGGTGGGGATTAGAAGGGACCCCTGGGCCCAGGGTTTGAGCGAGTCAGGACGAGCGGCTTGCATGGGACCAGTCCAAACCGGAAAACAAAAGGCCAGGAAGCGGGCCGGCTCCGGGAGGGGCCGAGAGTTACCTGCAAAGCTTCGAAAAGGTCGTACATGTTCACCGGAGGCAGGGACGCGGGGAGGGTGTCCCCCGAGCAGGCCAGCAGCAGCGCGGCCTGCTGCTCCGCGTCGTCGGGGTGCGGGTGGGAGGCTGGGTTCTGGCCGGCACAAGGAGCGGAGAAGGCTGGGGGGCTGAGCACAGAGCGTTTCAGAGACAGTCCCGCGAGCTCGGAGGAGACACCCCGGTAAAAGGACGGGGAGACGGGGACTCGCTCATAGACACGCCCTTCCCGGGAAGCAGGGACCGAGTCACTCTTTGGCTGGCGCGGAAAGGGAGGGCCTGGGGTTTTCATCTTTAAAGGCAGCCCGTCCGTCAGGCGTTAGAGGAAACGTAGAGGACTGCTGACCCCCCTCCCTCCGCCACGTGAAAGCATTTGCCACGCTCAGCACGTGGAGCCTGACCCGCCCCTGAACTGCTTCTGCCTGGAAAAACGCAACGGGCCTTAATTCAAGGCAACTGCAGACGGCGGCGAGGCGGAAGGTGGCGGGTCTGGCCAGCTCCCCAGACAAGCCCCGGACACACTGGGCAGGGAGGCGGCCCGGTTCCCGCGCCTTCACACGGGACAGACAGAACCTGCAGGACCGAGAGGGTCACGGCGCAGGTGCAACCACTCTGAGGAGGGGCGCACCTGGGTGCCCAGACTCGGCAGGTGGGGGACACTGCCCCCGGATTTCACCCCCACAGGGGGCCCCCTTTCTTGGTTCACTGTTCTCTGCAAGAACGACGTGCAAACGAGAACAAATGCTCCAGAGACAGGCCCGCAGGTGACGGAGAACGCAAGTCGTCACCTGTGTAACCTGCTCCGGGAGGCCAGGTCGGGGAGGGCCAATGGGCGTGGGCCCCGCCCCGCCTGCCCCGGGGCGTCAACACGTCCCTCCACCCACTGCTCAGCCTCCCAGGCCCCTGCCTGTCACTCCTCACCAGCAGCCCTCCCGCGCTGTCTCCGTGGACCCTGTCTCCCTGTCCCCGTAACCAGACGCACCAAGTCCGGCGCGTGGGGAAATGCAGTCACTTCGGCTACCGCGAGCAAACTCCCGTCACTTTTCTTTCCCAAAGGCTAAACTTTGGGCAAAGTATTCTGGGGAGCGGCAGGGTGGACGCAGGGATGCAGGTGTCCCGGGTCCTCTCAGACATCGGTGGTTCGGGGCGCCAGGGAGACCCGGGGGCCGGGACCTGCACTGCAGCTGCCAGGCGCCAGGTGGCGCCGCCCAGCTCAGGCCACTCCTCTGAGCTCCCGCCCACCGAGAAACCCCGCCCCCACTTCCCAGGGAGAGCAGGCCCCCTCCACCACCAGACGGGGGCTGCCCTGCCCCGCAGGAGCCTCAGAAAGTGGGGGGCCTTCGCTTAAACCCCACGCAGCAGCCAAACTCTGCAGCTTTACTTCCGACAGGAAGGGCGTCACAACCCACCAGCGACCACCCCAAGCAGCGGCGCAGGACAGCACAGCGCCCCTGGGGCCCGGGTCCCCCAAGCTCCCCGAATCCAAAGCCCGACCCTTCCCAGCGGCCCGTCACCCGGGGCAGTGCGGCCGCCCGGGGGGGGGGGCGGGCGCTGACCACAGCCCCTCGCACCTTTCTATCAGGCTGTTGTACACCACGACGCTGTTCTTCAGGTAGGGCTGCGGGCTCACGTTGCTGCCGAAGGCGTACTTGAAGTGGCCGTCCCGCAGCCGGTAGGCCTTCCTCCTCGACACAACGGAGGCCAGTATGTCTTTTAGGTGGTTCTGCAGAAACAGAAAGGAAACATGGCACGAAGTCCCGCTGAAAAGCAAACCCTAACCCTTCCACTAACCCACTCATGGCCCCCGGCATCTGGTGGCCGGAGATGGGGACGGGCTGGCGTCGCTGGGACCACGGGAAGGTCCCCGGGGAGCCCGAGCCAGACCCAGGAGCCGCTGCTGAGGGGGGCGAGGCCGCTGCTCCCATCTGCTCTGTTTAAGATGAGCCTGTTCTGCAGGACGTTTATTTTAAACCGTTTCACGTCTCTGAATTGGCTCCTCTCTCTCAAAAATGATGTTCAGATAGCTTGGAATGAAAGCATAAAAATAGGCGAGTAACTTTCTAAACAAGGGGCAGCCCACCTTGGAACTCGCTGTAACACGGGACAGAAAATGCAGGATCGGGGGTTCCCTGGCTGTGGTGCCCGACCCGCTGAGCCCTCCTGGGGGGGGTGGGGGGCGCTCTCAGAAGCCCGCGAACTGCGGACTTGCAGGACAGAAACCACACACCGGGCAGTCAGCAGCTGTCCTGCGTGGAGGCAGCCAAGCACGTCAAGGCGGGCTGGCGACGGGACGGCAGACTCAGGCCCAGCCGCTGTCGGCCCGGGACCCGGGAGGGCGCCCCCCACCCCAGGACGTCAGGGCACACTGCAGTGCGCGGCTTCCACACGCAGAAGCCACGTGAAGCTTATAACTTAGGATCGCTGAGGTGCAGCCGAGAGGAGGGGACCCCCACGGGCGTTCTGTCCAACGACTAAGTGGGAACGCCGAGCGGCGACCACGAGGGTGCCGGGCCGAGGGCCCACCACGCAGACGCCCAGTCTGCGGCTCTCCACGTGCCGGGTCTCGGCTGCACCCCGAGATGGTCATCATCCTTAGGGGCCTCGATCTCGGTTTCTGCCCTGGGTGACAAGGCCCACGTCGGACCGAACCTAGGTGACCCCCTAGGTGACGCCTAGGTGACGTCCTGCAGCCGGTAGGCCTTCCTCCTCCTAGAGGAAGCAGAAGGCGTCCTCTGCTTAAGCACTGGTTCGGAATGGGCTGCGTCTCCCCCTCCGAAGAACCGAGGGGAGGGATGTCCATTCGGAGGCCAGAAGGACTTCCGGGGTCTTTTCTCCCAGCAGCCACGTCCGGCCCCACCCACGCAAGCTCGCCACGCCCAACCCGCGCCAGCGCCCCGCCCCCGCGCCCTGACCTCCACGGCGTAGACCACGGCCGACACGGCCTCCTCGGTGACGTTGTCCAGGCCGTGCTCGTAGGCCGTGACGATCATCCGGCCCTCCAGCTGGCCCCGCGTGGGCAGCATCATGGTGTGGGAGCAGAGCTTCAGGTCGTCGTCATCTTGGGGGTCCTTCGCCACAAACTGCTGGGCCCCCGACAGGGGGTTCTGAGGCTGGAACCTGTGCTGAGAGAGGCGGGGTTTCAGGGTCACCCATCGCGGTGGGGGGGAGCGGGGCGCGCCGGGCTCGGTCGGCCCCGGGCTCGTGCTGCCGAGGCCATGCGGCGGGGGTTTGAAAAACAAGAAAGCGGTGACGTGCGCAGGGTCACCGAGTCACACGTGTCCCTGGGGCACAGTGGAGACCTGTTTCGGGCGGTGCTGGCCGTGTTCTGACATCCTAACCTTTGGCATCTCTGTGATCACAGAAGAGATGGTTCTGTGCTGAAAGTGACCACGAGAGCGGAGGAGAAGGTCGAAAACTGTTTCCAAACACGCCGGAGCATGTTGCACACCCTTCAGGGAGGCGGGTGGTTCTGAGCGTGTCATTAGCCCTTCCGTGCAGCCCCGAGACGGCCTGGCGCACCCGACGGCCCACGCGCCCGGCCCACGCCCGGCGGTGGCGGCTGAGCTGCCATTACCTTCTACCTGCAGCTCTCAGCAAAGGTCTCCTTCCGAGGCATCCGAGCACTGATTTATAAAACCCTTTTTCGCTATCTTTTCGTGCTCATGAAACCTCTGCCTCCCCCTGGGAGCCTCAGAGGGCCTGGTTCTGTCTCCCGCCGTCAGGGGGAGCCCCTCTCGCTGAGGCCCAGTCCTCCGCACTCTGCAGCGGGTATGTTTGAGGTCTGCGTTATTATAAAAGCAGCACCTGTGTGTTTTTCCGTTTTCCAGGTAAAAAACTGCATTTTTACAAAAAAACATGTCTGCTTGGACCAAGGAGGCCTCTCTGGGGGACCAGTGGCCACCAGATTGAATATTAATCATATAAAACACAGCAAAGGCAGAGATAAATGTTCGTTGCTGCTAATCCAGAAAGCGAGCCATGCCCAGTCAAAAGCTATAAAAGGGTATTTTGGGGAAACTTTGTTCCCTAGGTAGAAACTTTTACCTAGAAAAGTAAGCACGCCTGAAACGTGCACAGATTTTACAGCCACGTGCCCCTGAGGGTTCTCCGCTGAGCCCGAAGGCTCGGCCCACCGGGTGCGCAGGGGACGGCAGGCCCCCCGGCCCCGAGGACAGAAGTCACTCCAGAAAAATATTTCCGGGGAGAAAGAACAGAGGCACAGCCGTTGAATCATTGCAAAATCATTAGGTACTGATGATAACATTAATGTTTATGCAACAACAAAAAAAACAACAGCATCATAACAATTCAGGCACCTCGCCGGCTTCCCAGACAGTAACACCTTCCCCCCAGCAGGGCGCCCCCTTTTCTCCCCGACTCTATGACCAGTAACTTCACAGCCATTTAAACATGCAAAGCAGCCTTTACCGAGGTCTGCCGAAGGGCAACCTACATCAAATTTCTGGCGAACAGACGACAGCTTCTTCCTCCCCTTCGGCTTCCCGGGCTTGGCTGTGGGGGTGCCCGGCCAGGGCAGAGAGCCGGCCCCCTCTGGGGGACAGAAAACAGTAGGTGTGAGAGAACACACACAGGCCACCGGGCACCGTGTCGGCTGTTTGCCTTTGGGGCTATAAAGAGTATGGCACGCTCGAGTAGCGTAAATAAATACTAGACACTTAAATTCCGACCTCCCCTGCTTCTCCCGACCATGTCTATTCCCTCCCTCCACGGTGTCCCCCAGCTGTAAGCAAAGCGGCGCACTCGGGAACACAGGTCTGTGGCCCGTGCATCCCAGTTCGGGTCGGTGCGCCGGGCGCACTGCCCTCCCGTGCTCAGGGCCCTGCTGGAGATGACAGTGGGGAAAGTTGAGGGCTGCGCCCGGCAGCAGTGACGGGGACAGGGAGGGGTGGACTAGACGGCCCCACTGCGTATTTCCAGGATGGGCTGGACAGGGGCCGGCAGAGCAGACACGGGCCGGCCCCGACCCGGGCTGGAGAACCGAGAAATGGGTCTAGTGGTGGGCTGGCCCGGGAGGCGGAGGAGCCCACCCGCCCAGGGGAGACCCAGGGGAGACCCAGGGGGACATGGGTTCGGAGACGGTGAGAGTCGTGGGCACAGGGAGGGCTCTGTAAACACGCCCTTTCTCCCCCCAACCCCCCACCCAGGACGGGCTCAGCACAAAGCAGACGGGCAGGGCGGCCTGTTCAGCGGCCACCGACCCAGCGGGCCGCCGTCTGCGACCTCGGGCACCCCGCTGGCCCTGAGGCCAGGCCTGCTCGCTGCTGCCTGCGCGCGCGTGTGTGGACTGTGGCTCAAGGGACCACGAGCTGGGTCTCACTGAGGCGGCCGGGCTGCGGGCTGGCATCCGAGGAGCCCCAGTTTAACGGCCGTCCTCTCGCCACCCCCCAAGGAGAAGGTCACTCTTCATGGTGAACCCCCAGACTCCTGACAGGAACCCATAGCACCTTAAGAAAGACCAAGCTAAGCAAGCGAAGACAGAAAGACAGAGGTCCCAGAGATACAGAATCGGGGTACCGAGGGGACCCGAACTGTTCCTAGCTGCCGGCCTCGGCCGGCGGAGGAGGGGACCCTGTGGGAGCCACGGAAGCAGAGGGCGCCGGCTCAGGAAGGCGGGGCGGGGGAGCCGAGGAAGCCCCACGGAACACAGAGCGGCGCAACAGGGAAACCCGCCTAAAACCGCCGCACCGGGACGGTTACGCACGCAGGGCGGCAAACGCAGGCGGGCAGCTGCGAGTACGCAGCACCCACGAGCGCACCCTTGTATTATTATTGGCCGACGGCGTCAATTTCCCCGGGGACAATCGTCACCCGGTGTGGGAGGAGCCGGAGAGGACCCCAGAAGAACAGAACCACGGCAGGAGGTGTCTTTGAGAACAGGTGCAGGGTGGGGAGCTTTTCTCTGTAAGACCTTCTATGCTGTTCTTGTTAACCCTGAACACACAGTTTAGTGTTAACGGAGAAAAAGTCAAAGTAATACAAGCTCATTATAGTTCACCGGAAAAAAATACCCCCCAAAATATTTTTCAGAGAAAAAAACCCCACCCATCATCCTAGCAAAATATTGTTTCCATTTTGATGTTTTCAGAACAATGAGATTTTTTAAAAAACACTCCAAGTTCCCCAGCTTTCTCCGTGGGAAGTCAGGTCCTCCCGCCCACCACTGCAGGGGTCTCCGGCACCCAGGCCCCGGGGGGGAGGTCTGCCAGCCTTAGAGGGTTTCCCACAGAGACCTCCGCGGGAGGAATGGAGCTGGCCCTCAGGGGACGCTGCGGTCCTGTGGCCAGCCACGTGGGTGAGGACTAGGGGTGACGGCAGGTGGCCGAGGCTGGGCTCCGGCTGGGAGCCCGCCCTGGGGCCTGCTGGACAGACCGGCCTGGGGTGTTTATGTTCTTCCGCTTTTTCTTCTCTGCCGCCTGTTCCCTACTCCACAAAAGGAGGCCTGTCCCTCCCTGGAAAGGCGGGGTGAGGACCAGTGTGACATGCGTGAGGTGTCCAGTCGCTCAGTAAATATTATTATTAAAATCACCTTTCCTGCCCGGCTCAGAGAAAGAGAAGAAAAGCCACCCGCCACGGTTTGGAGTACAAAGGCCGGCATGTAGCCAGGCAACATTCAGGAATTCCATTTTGAGAAAATATACTCTGGGTGTTGATGGAGAAACAATGTCAGGTATCCAATGTTTCTTCATGTATTTAAAAATAACCCATAATGACATTCACCACTATCAAAGGCTTTATTTAAATAAAATCGGCCAGTTTAAAAAAAAAATAGCCCTGTAGGGTCGATAGTACTGTCTCTCTTTTATAAATCACAGCTAAGACCACCAATAATTCACTCCTTTCTCTAAGCTCCACCTGAACCCAGGTCTCTTGACGCCCGTCAACCGGGGCTTTTAGTTCCGGTCACACGCCTTTGGGCGTGTGGCGCTTCAGAGCACGCCTCCAGAGTCACATCTGCCCCTGACATGAGGCGCTGTGGCCTCTCTGACCCCTTCCAGGGGAACAGAACTCAAGGAACCTGACACCGGAGCCTGTGCCGTGAGGGTAGGTGCGGGTAGGTGCGGGCAGGTGCGGGCAAAGGGCCCACCCACAAGGACTTCTGGGAGTGGAGGAACTGGCCTGGGAGACCTTTTCTCAACGCTTTATTTCGCAACAGGGGACGGCAGAGGGGGAGGGCCCCAAATACCAGCCATTTCTAGATAAACGTGGGCTTTCAACAAATGATCATCGGAATCACCATAAACCCTTTTTTAAAAAAAAAATTCAACTTCATCTACAGCAGGAGGTACTGTGAATCCACTTTTTAACAAGAGCCCAGAATAAGTTTTATCATGGGGCAAGTTTTTAGTTTGTTTTTGACAAATGGTTGAAAGAGGTGGCTTGCACCATTTAAGCCCCCCAAAATCAGGGACCCTTGGGTGGGGGTCTGTCTGTCCACACCTATTTAGGTGGAAGACTGAACTTGGAACTCCCCCCCTTCTCCTACCAGGCTGCCTGCCACCCACAACCTTCTGCTGTCCCTCAATAATCTGCCAAACACACACACAGAAGTTCTCACCTCCCTCCCAAGTGCTAACATGCTAGCGTCTCACCGGAGAGCACACCTGGAAGCCCAGGATTCCATTCCCTCCACATACACCCCCCCACCCCCCCCCAATCCCACCGTTGCCCACCCTGCACTGGCCTCCGCGTCTTCCTCCCGGCACCCAGCCCCTCCCCGCCTCTCAGGGCTGCAGTGTCTAAAACCCAGCCGGGCGGGGAGTCCAGACCCAAAGTCAGTGTGGGTTTGGGGAGACGGCCCGCTTTAACCAGGTTCTACACAAGCACGTGCACGTACATTTTCTCCGAGCCCTTCAAAGAATGTTGCGTTTGCAAACACAAGTATGTTACTTCTATAAAAGAATGTGTATCCACGTAATACCATTTTCCCGGAGCCCTTCCAAGAACCCCGTGCTCACAACACCGGCGTGTCACAGGAAGCTGAAGCCCAGTGCCCGGGGCTCTGCCGCCCGAGGTCCGGCCCGCCTTGCCGCTGCCCCCTTACCTGGAGTGGACACCAGGATCTGACACCGAGTGAGGATCGCCAGGAGGAACTCGTTGTGAGAATGGACTGAAACACAAGAGCGCCTCGGGTCATACGCCACATATTACGTCCCAAGGGAAGCACCTATGCCAGCCCTGCTTTTCACATGTGGGATGTCCCGTTCGGCCATTTTTACACGTAATTTTAAATACCCACATTATCTACACTAGTAAAGCCAAACTCTTACTTATTTTTTAAGGGAAAAGGCTTTACTTTACTGCAAACCTGGGGAAACCCCAGAACAGCCCAATAGTTCCCCGGGCGCTCAGTTTACCATTGTCCTGCGTGAGGAGCCTGTGAGCCTCAAGGTCAAACTCTTCTTTGCTGATCTTCTGCTTGAACCACAGCTTTAAGTTGGCCCAGTATCTGCGGAGGCAGAGACAGTACTGGGAACCACAGGCTTTGCTTCCGTCCCCAGTTCACCTCACGTGCTCCAACTCCCAGGGAAGGACGTTTTACTCTCCCTGGTGCCCGTCCTCTCACCTATCAAAGGGGAACGACTGCACCTTGCGCGCATCTCCGCGGCGAGGAGTGATGAAACAGTGCATTGAGAGCGCTTAAAAGCTGTTCCGTAAGTGTCCTGCTGTTAGTCAACCGGAGGGTCTGCGTGCCTTCCGAAATTGCCGCCCATGCCCTCTCACCCACTGCACCTGTGCCCACCTGGGCTTTGCAAAGCCTCCTCCTCCAGGAAGCCCTCCCGGGGCGCCGCGCGCCTCGCACCGGGCCTGCTCCCGCTCAGTGGGGCCCAGGGATGAAACGCACTCTTCCTACCCCACCCAGGGAGGAGCCCCGGTCCCCAGGGAGGCAGGGAGGCCTCATCATCAGCACGACAGGCCCGGGGGCCCGCCTGGCACAGAGGCCCTGCCACCCGCGACGCCGGGCTGCCCAGGTCCAGGCGGCGGAGGCATCCTCGGACGGCCCAAGGCCGGAGCACCCCGCGCGGAGGCTCGGGCTGCGCCGCCGGCTCTTACTGTTTCACGTTGTCCCCCAGAGCCTCGCTCAGGTTCTTCTTGGCCGCCTCCAGCTCGCTCACAAAGGTCGCCATTGCTCCCAACTCTCGGCCCGACCGCAGACCGCTCCGCCAAGCGCCCGACAACCGAAAAACCAACGCGGCGGCAGCGGCCTGGCGCGGGAGGCCGCGCCCGAGGCCCTGCCCCCTCTTCCCCGCCCCGCTCCGCTCCGCCCCGTCCCGCCCCACGACGCTGGGAAGACGTCCGTTTGGTTGTCGGCTCCGCCCGCCTGTCTGAGGGGAAAGGGCGGAGCCAATTCCGCTGTCTGTTCGGCCCCGCCCCTGGATTGGGTCACGTGACTCCTCAGTGCCGCGGGGCTGCAGCGCCGCCTGCTGGGCCGGCGCGTCCCGCCCTTTCAGTTTGTCACCTGCTTGCAACTCCCTGTGCGGCCGGGGGTCCGCATCTCACCAGCTCACCCCCGGGGCCAAAAGCGCGGGCAGCATCGATTCTAGTCTCTTTCTCCGCTGTAGGTTTCGCGGAGCAGTAATCATTCGATAAGCCATTTACTGGCGTTATCTTGTTAATGTTGTGCCCCCTCCAACTATAAGTAAGTTCCGTGAGGCCAGGACCTGCTGCCAGGCCTGGCGCGGAACACCGCAGGCTGAGCGAGTGAAGTAATGATGAGAACTGGGGGGAAATGCACAGAGGATAAAAGGAGAGGAAAGAAAAAGTGTTTTACCACCTCCCAAACTCCTAACTGAGCTTTCTCCGCTACGCCCCATAATTTAGAATCATACCCTATCTTCAGTTGTGAATCTCGGTGGGTTTTTAAACTTAATGTAATAAAACGACTATTTTCCTTTGGTATTACATTGTCCTTTTAATCTTTTTTTTAATCCTCACCCGAGGACATTTTTTTTTCTTGCTTTGGGGGGAGGGGGGACCCAGCGCTGTGAGGGAAACATTATCAGGAATCAAACCTGCGACCTTCCGGCTTCCAGGTCAGGACGCCACCCAACCGAGACGCACCAGCCAGGACTTTGTCCCGATTTCAATGACAGCACAATTGAGATCACTTCTCTGTTGGGAGTGATACAGTCGCGAACTTGATGCAGAAAGCCTGTGTACACATAGTATGCAAAGGAAAGCCATCCCAAACATTTATTTTCATACAGCTATTTTACTTATATACCTTAAAATCTTGGCCCCGGCTTGATTAACTCTTCCCAGTTCTGCATTTAATGAGGTCCTGGTGCTTTGGGTGTTTGGGGCAGTGGGACTGGATGTTGGTGGAGTTGTGAGATGTCCCCCTGTGGAGATTGTTTTTACTATTAATCCTGTTATTTAGAAGTTTTATCGAAACACAGTTCTGTTCGTGGGCCCGGCTTAAACCCGCTGAAGCTGTGTAAGTGCTGCCGGCCCTTGAACAGCGTGGGTTTGCACCGCCGTCCACTCAGGCGCGGATTCTTGTCAGTAAACAGACACAGCTGGCCCGTCGTGCCCACGGGCTCGCGTCCGCACATGCGGCCCAGCACGGGCGGAAATCAGTATTGTCACGTTGCCAACCGCCGACTCCCCACCAGGGGTCAAAAGTGCTGTTCTCCGTCTGCAGCCGGCGGAATCCGGGTGTTCGGAGGATCGAGGGTAGACTCAGAGCTTAAACACGGATTTCGGAGGGCACGGGGGCGAGGGGCCCTGACCCCGTCTTGCTCCAGAGACAGCTGTGCCTGGTTTACTCGGGGTGCCACAGCGAAGCACCACAGGGCGCGGCTTGAACAACGGACACCTACTCGCCCGCGGTTCCGGGGGCTGGAAGTGCGAGATTCCGGGGGCAGCACGCGTGGTTTCTGGTGAGGCCTCCCCGTCTGGCGGGTGGATGCCGCGTCTCTCTGTCCTCACGAGGCCTTCCCTCCGGGCGGGCCGCTAATTAGCTCCTGAGGACGAGCAGAGGCAGCCACCTGGGGGCAGTGCCTGGTAGGCCCCCCCCACCCCGCCCCGGGTGTTTTGGTGCCCGGGGGGAACCCCAGCAGCTGCTCCTCACATTCTGCTGCGTCTTCTTCCTCCGGGGGCCTGCGGCGAGGCGCCCCTGGCTTCTGTGGCCGCAGTATGGACGCTGCAGTGTGTAAGCAGATGGCTCGCCGAGTTCCCGCGCAGGATGAAGTGGGCCCTGGGCATGAAAGTATCAGGGGGACGTATGGGGCCGTCCTGTACACTTTCCAAAACGCGAGCTGTTAAACTGCAGGCCTTGGAGAGGCCCCCTCCTGACCCCTGGAAGCAGGTGGCCAGGCAGCAAGTCGGAAAGCGGGGCAGAGGCCTTTGGCCCCTGCTCAGATGTGGGTGGGACTTCTCCACGGCGCCGGGAACCACTTCGTAGAGAGGTGGGGGTCAGGCACAGGAGGGATCTTGGGCACTTGGGATGGCAGCTGGCGATTCAAGACAGACACACCGTCACTGTGTTGCTGAGACTGTGCTGGATACAGACTCGGCTGCACGTTGCCCTCTGGAAGGAGGGACAGCCACAGGGGAAGTCCAGCCGTTACGCTGCAGTCACACCGACCCGTGCACCCGGCCTCTGCTGGAGCCCGCGGCCACCGTCCACCCTGGTCAGGTAGCGCGGCTGGGCTGGCAGCCAGGGCTTCCTCCAAGGTAAGGAGCCGTCGTGCATGTCTTCTGATTGCTTCAGGCCTCGTGTCTTCTTAAAGCGGTATTGCTGCCGTAAAGACGTCTTTCCCATGCGTTCCTTGTGCCCCTCTTCTGTCCTGTCATGGGCGGTGGTGTGGGTGCGCCGGAAGGACACGCAGACAGAAGAGCGTAGTGTGAACGGCAAGCACCTGCCCGTCGGCCTGGGGTCGGCATCCTGGCCTTTCCCGTCCTGGCTCTGGGACTCTGGGCAGGTGACGTGGTCACCCTGCCGAGTGCCCACGTCCGCAGGGTGGGGAGGGTGCAGTTCTTAGCTGCTGTCGTGAGAGTTACACTGTAACACGCCAGCGTGCACAGAGCCCTCGGCACCGTGCAGGCCCCTAGTAACCGTTTGTGACGGTTGTGATTGTTCTGATCGTGTGCACGGCGACGTTGCCGGTCCCCGTCTCCATGCAGATCTTCTTCGATGTTCTCTGCGGACAAGATGGTTTTTGTCCGGGGAAACATACTTTCTTTCCCATTCTTAGGCCTCATTTCATTTTCCGGGGTTTTCTCTATCGGCCAGACTAGCAGTGTCCGATCGAACAGTTCTGTGGCTGAGTGGTCGGGTCCGGTAGCCACAGGGGGCTGCTCAGCCCTCCAAATTCAGCTTCTGAGCCCCAGGAACTGAGTCCTGATGACACTTAAACTTGAACACCCGCCCGCAGCTAGTGGCAGCCGGGCTGAAGAGCTCAAGGCCAGGCCCTCTGTTCCAGGTGCATGGCCCTGGCCCAGACGCTTTCACCCCTACGTCTGGCTTTGGCCGTGAACTTGGGAAAATGCCCTTTACTCCTCGGGGGCTGAGCGCTTCCCGGGGAATCATCACGTGTGTCGGCGTGTTTCTGCATCTGTTCCAAGGGCCGCCTCATTTTTCTCGTTGACTTCTTCCATGTGTTGAATGACACAGATATTCTTCTGATGTTAGATCACTCCTGTATTTCTGGGATGATCCTCCTTGGTTGGGATGTGTTTTTTTTTAAGATTTTTAAATTTATTTTTAGAGAGGGAAGGGAGGGGGAGAGAGAGAGATAGAGAGAGAGAGAGAAACATCAAAGTACAGTTGCTGGGGGTCATGGCCTGCAACCCAGGCATGTGCCCTGACCAGGAATCGAACCTGTGACACTTTGGTTCTCAGCCCGCGCTCAATCCACTGACCTACGCCAGCCAGGGCTGGTTGGGATGTGTTTTTAAAACCCACTGCTGTATTCGATTTGACGAGACTGCGTTTACAGTTCTGGCGTCTGTGGTCATAAGGAATGTTGGTCCCAACTTTCGAGTCCTTTTCCTTGTCTGGGTGTAAACACTGAATGAGTTGCCACAGAACATTGGGTGTAAACAGAACTGGGTGTAAACATTGATGAGGTGGGGGGGGCAGTTTTCCTACTTTTCCTGTTCCCCGAAAGGATGCTTAAAAAAGGGAGGGGCGTCTTTGTTCTTTGAGATTGGGAGAAAATTCTCCATGAATCTGTGTGAGCGGGCTGTGGTGGAGAGCAGGGCAGGTTTTTACATTTTTTTTTCCAATTCAATTCCCTGGTTATTTGGTGTCTCTCTCTCTCTCTCTTCTTGAGTTATTGTTGTTCATCAGTGCATTTTTCTGTATATGGTTCCCTTCTCTTGAAGTTGTCTGTGTGCTCCTTTTTGGCCGGGAGGACGGGCCCCTGGGGGTGGGCCGCTCAGGACGATCGGCGCTGCCCTTCTCTGCGTATCGGTGGACCCCCGACGCAGTCCCAGTTTCCGGACACCTCGGAGGGTGGCCTTATTCTCGGCGACTGGATCCCAGAGGAAACGCAGGACGGTCTCGTGAAGAAGCGAGGCCTGGACTGCGGGTGCTCTCCTGCTGGGTCCCAGTTTTCCGGCCACTTCTTTCTGAAGAGGCGGTGTAGGTTCCTGAGTTGGAGCCAGTGTGGGTGCCCAGGCTCCTCCGCGCAGCGCGAGCTGTCGCCGGTCTGGAGTCGGGGTCCAGGCGCCGGAAAGAGTGCCCGCCGCGGGCTCCAGAGCAGCCCCAGTCGTCTCTGCGCAGAGACCGCCGACCCCCATCCCGGGCAGCCCCCGGGGACGGGAAGGCGGCGACCTCACGCGAGTGTTGGGAGTCCTCGCCGCCCGCGCGCTGGTTGGGTCCCCGCACCCCTGGCCCACGTGGAATCTCGCGCGGCGACCCGTGCGCCCTGGGCTCCCCCAAATGTACGAACCCAGCAGTTCTGGAGGTGCAGGCGGCCCAAGTCCCGTGGGGGGACCCACCTTGATGCCCGCGCCTGGCTCCCAGGGACAGCTTCGGGAAGATCTGGGCGCCTGCGCCTTGCGCCCCCAGGTTGCAAATGCTGCCGCCTGCAAAGAAACGGGGGCAGGCGGCTGGCTTTGCGGAAGGAATCTTTCTGCGGCTCGGAGCCGGCCGTGCGCAGGGTTAGAGCTGCTGCCTCAGAGAAACCACGCGAAGGCGCGGAGCGGGCCCCTGCCGCCACGCAGCGGTCCCCGCAGCACCTGGAGGAAGAGAGGCCGCCTGGGCGGGGCGTGCAGCAACGCCTCGCCGGCTG